AGCAACAAGAACAATAGGAAGGGCCGCCATTGTACTTGGACTCAAAGCCTGGCTGCGGCACTTCTGCTAGTGGCCTTAGAAAGTCAATCTCCAAAGTGTCCTAATTTTCTTATCTCCTAAAAAAGTATCTGCCTCACCAGGACTACTGTGAAGATCAAATAAGATTACAGCAATGACAGTACTCTAAATCATGAAGTGAAATACAAATATTAGTGAAAGGTCAAAGGTTTTTAGAGTAAAACTCTTCCATGTGTTATCCCAGGCTTAATGATAATTAAAGCAGACCCTCAAGCTCTAGCCAAGCAAAAACGAGGCAGGGTAAATACCATAGCAATCGTCCCGGGAAGGGAGTCTTAATAGAGGAAGTTTCCAATCACCAGGAAACCCTCTCACTGGCGGGACTGGGGGAAGTTTTCAGCACTCTAACTGGGAGGAAAAATTAAACAAGGCCCACAGATTACCTTTAAAGTTTTTAACAAAGAAGTGACATGTACATTTAAAGTTCTATAGTAATATGCAGAATGAAAAATACCTACTAACCAACCCCTTTTCCTTAGAGCCAACACTATCACATTTTGTACATACTACTAGGGAAAAAAAAAATTCAACCACATATACTTGCTTTCAGAAATTTTTACACAAATGACACTGCACACACTGCAGGATAGTCTTTTCTGACTTAATCAATTCCTACTGATGGAGATCTAGGTTGTTTCTCCAGTTTTTGCTGTTATAATTAATTCTGTACAAATATCTCTATGCATGTATCTCAGTGTAATTCCAAAACTATTTGTAAATTACTAGTAGTGGAATTTCTGGGTCAGAAAGCATATACTTTATCTTTCCAAAAAGTACTAATTTTATTATCATCTACAGTACGAGTGCCTGTTTTCCCACATGCTTGCCAAAAGATGCACTTTAAAACTTTACATATGCTTACTGATTTTTTTAAAGTACATATGAACTGACTTTTCAATTCTGTTGGCCATCGTTTTCTTAATTTTCTCCCCCTGCAGGCAGTCATTTGTCTTTTGATTCTATTTTCCCTAACAGAACTTTAAGGGGAATAAATTCTACATGTCAAATTTATCCATCTTTTACAGCTTCAGTGTTGGACAGCTCCTCCCTACTTGCACATTGGTGTCCTCTCCACAAAAATCATGCTACTATGAACTCAAAAGTCAAGAAGCCCCACCTCTGTGTTCAAAGCGTCCAATCACTTTTAGGTACTACTTCTTAAATATGAATACTCAACCAATAATCTCAAGATTCTGATCAAATATAACACCACAGATAAGAGATTAGGACAAATAGAAAGTATAGGAAAAAGATTACAAAGGGAAGAAAACTTAAAGAGAAAAACTATCCTTAGAATTAGACAATAATGCAACCTTAAAACAAATGGACTACACATGTAAGGAACATTCAAGATAACAGAAGTATACTTAAAAATTTAATATACCAGAAATTTAAAACTCTGTAAAAATGTCAGAAGACAAAATCAAGGAAATCTTCCAGGAAGTGAAACTTAGAAACAAGAGAAAAGATGAGAAGATTAAATAACTGGTCCAATGAGGTTTAACTTTGGAACAGTCAGATTTCCAGATACAGATAAGGAAAAACAGAAGTGTATAGAAATGTGATAGAAGTGTGACAGAAATCAGAGAAATAACCCAGAGACTTGCTCTCAGCAGATGAAATGGATAAAACTGTTACTGATGTGTCTGAGCATTCATCTTTGTAGCCCCTGAGTCAGGTACAAATCAGATAAGCCAGCTATTTGAAAGACTAAATTCAAAGCATGAAGTGAAGTGAAGTGAAGTCTCTTAGTCGTGTCCAACTCTTTGTGACCCCGTGGACTGTAGCCTACCAGGCTCCTCCCATGGGATTTTCCAGGCAAGAGTACTGGAGTGGGTTGCCATTTCCTTCTCCAGAGGAGCTTCCCCACCCAGGGATCGAACCCGGGTCTCCTGCATTGTAGGCAGATGCTTTACTGCCTGAGCCACCAGGGAAGTCTAAGGCCCTTGAAATAAAATGAATAAAATAATAATGCTTAAAAAACTTACAATCAGTGAGCCGAAGGCTTCCTGATATTGAAAATGGGTAACTATTTTATCATGTGGCATTCAGCGCCTTGCTGTGGTAGCAAGTGAGCTGTCCCTATCAGTTTGTCAACACTTGCCAAAAGCTGAAAAGTGAGGATTAAAGGTATTGGCCTAATCATTGAAGTGGCAATTAAAAATACCCCTGAGATACATAAACAAGTGGAGGACCTAGAGAGACAACTCAAAAGTCTTTCACCAAAATAAAGTGTTTGTCATGGGAGCAGAATGGAATTCATGTGAAAAAAGCTTTAGTCTACATGCCAAAAATTTCACCTTATAAAATACATAAAGTATCATCACAAAGATCACAACAGAATATCAGTCAATAAGAAAGAAAATTTTGCAGACAGGGAAGATTAAAGTGTAAAAACACAGTATGTGATGTCAAAGCACTGTAAAATTGTAGCGATCACAGAGTTTGTGTATGTGCGCAAGCATGCTCAGTCACTGTCATGTCGCTCTTTGCTACCTCCTAGACTGTAGCCCGCCAGGCTTCTCTGTCCATGGAATTCTTCAGGCGAGAACTCTGGAGTGGGTAGCCATTCCCCTCTCAAGGGAATCTTCCCACCCAGGGACTGAACCTGCATTTCCTGCATTGCAAGAGGATTCTTTACCACTGAGCCTCCAAGGTGGAGTTTAGAAAGTTTCAATTTAAAAATGGAATGGTTGACAAGATACTTGGTATGCCAGGCCAGTGAGCAAACCTCTCAAAAATATTTCCCGCTTTAAATACCTGCATTTACTCCCTAAATAACTTTAGAGAAGATAGGAGTCAGTTGCTCACAATTCTTAAGAGAAAACTCATTTAACAAAAGACTAAAAGATTTAAAGTGAAAAAAAAAATCGAGGTAAATTTATAGAAAATCTATAGAAAACAGAAAAACCACATCCCCTATCTCCAGTAAAACCAGTAACAATCTATATATTCAGAGATATACTGTAACTTTATGGAATGCCTTTCCACCTCAGTCATACTCACAAGATCCTCTGAGTAAAATATAAGTTCCTTATACAAGGTCCCTAAATGTGCTTTTGCATATCTATGGATCCCCACCATCTCTTGAAAAGGTATCTAAAATCTGCTAATGTACATCTTTCTGTAAAGACATCTGGACTTATTACTAAAAGATTCCAGAAGAACTGCATCTTCAAAAGTTATAGTGCTTTAGAATGAAAGATCTTGTCCATTCACTCCTTAAGTCTAAGAATTGTTAATTTTCTAGTTCATTATCTTTACACTTAGAAAAATAGTATTTCATTTAAAATACTCTCCTAAAGCATGAGTTTCATGAGGGGATATCCTAGGTAATGAATCTCTTCTTGTTGGACACTTACCTTAAAAAATATAAAGTCATTCACAATATTTTAAATAAACATTGATTGGGTGCAGGATAAATGACTAAACTGAAGACCCATGCAGCAGAAAATAGTGGCTAAAAAGGACTGAGAAAGGCCTCACTGAATTTGATCAACAACTGTTATTAAACATCAAGTTCTCCACTCAATCATTTAATCATATTTCTGCTTTCCTATACAGGGGATTCCCTCATAGCTCAGTTGGTAAAGAATCCGCCTGCAACGCAGAAGACCCCAGTTCGATTCCTGTGTTGGGAAGATCCACTGAAGAAGGAATAGGCTACCCACCCCAGTTTTCTTGGGCTTTCCTTGTGGCTTTCCTGTATACTTTTCAGTTTGTGTTCTGGACGTAAAAGCCGTGAACTAACTGGAATACTGATATCTCTAACTCACAAAGTACATCATGTGTTGAAAAGTTCTGTTAAATAGTGAATCACATTACATCCTCCATCTTGAGAGCACTATACTAACATTTAACACCACATAGGATTTAATTGCTAAACCCACACCTAGCTCAAAAATATTAAGCATAATGATTTAATGCTCTTACACCGTCTTCCTGAGATTATTTAACAACAGAGTGAGTGGAGGATCAGAACAAGAACTTTCTACCTCAGCAAGTGACTTGCTTGAAGAGTAAGAATGCCCTTTCTCTGATCCTTAATAAACCCTAGCATATGCAATCAAAATGTTTAGTTAAAAAAATTATTCTTTAAAGTAACTAAGAAACATTATCAAGTTCCTATTAGTGAGAAGCATTTACAAACAAATCAAGATCTGTGATGATGTATGTCCAGATGAACACTAAACTCTGGCTATACTGCATGCAAAACAGTATATATACAGGCAGAACCCAAAAGTTTTCAGAATGAGAAAAACACAATCACAGCATCTAACGTTTATTAAATGCTTAAGTGTCAGTTACTGTGTTAAGTCTTTTAGATACATTCAAACTAGATGCATTAAACTTTTAGTTGAACTTCACAACTGCCCTATGAGGCTGATCTATCATGCCCATTTTACGTCTTGGGAAATGGTCTTTTAAAAAATCTTAAGACCTATAACTTGCCCAAGATCAGTTACTAAGTGGCAAAATCAGCACTCCAACCCAGCACTGCCTGACCACAGACCTATGTGTGCTTTTTGATGACAAAATATTTTACCTACTCAAATTAAGAATCCACTAAAAAGCATAAGCCTTATTGACAGTGGATCACTAGTATTATCTATGTATCTCCTACTCTATTTTGTATTCATATGGTAGGAACTTGAAGATAGCTAAATAAAGGATAACACACTACTACAAAATAGCTTCAAGGAGAATATGTGGTTTGGGCAGTGGAAAACAGATGAAATATTTAATGATATGTATAGTAACAGAAAAGTAACTCAAAGGAGCTCTCATATATAAAAGGCTTATTTTAAAATAAACAGTATGAACCCATGAAGACTCCCACCCAGGAGTTATCAGTGATGAACACTAAAAACTAAACATCTTACCTCTTAACTAAATGTTTAATCAAATAAGAACACTGAAGATGCAGGTAACTTTTTTATTGAGGCACAACAAGGCATTATAATTTGCCTGAACGTGAGGCAGTTAGTTTAGTAAGCTGAACATTAATACAGTTAAGGATTAAGTGCAAACAATATACATTCACAGCTTGACTAGCGAGGCTACATCACAATTTATAAAGTGCCAGATTAGTGCTAATTGTCATTCAGCTTGAAATTTTTCACCATGAGGAGGAAAACAAAAAGTAAGGACCTCCTCCTCCTCCTAGGAATGAAAACATTTTCCTTAACCAATCAGTCACAAGGGCAAGAACTACTTTTGCTTATTCCCACTAATTAGAACACCATATCCTTTCATTGTCGATTCTGTACTGACTTTCAATCTTGGTAAAGCAGATAGCCTGAAAATGTAGAATATTTCCAGCTACTTCCATAAATTGCTCCTCTGTGCAAACGTAACCATATCTGGTCTCCCTGGAAGAGCTGAAGAATTGCGTGATTGCTAGCAGTTTCATGGTCTGGAGCACCATCATTGGCATAGGCAGATACCAAGACCTCTTCATTCTTCATGAGGTTGACATACAGTGGCACATTTACTGCCAGCTTTAGCATATGAAAAATGAAAACATAAGTGCCATTCACCGGGCAATTAAATCTACCAAGCTGAAGATCAAAAGTTTCTCCCAAGTTGTTCAGAAGAAGATCAAACACAATAGGTTGGTCTAAAGTCCCAGGGGCGAGATTAGAGGTTCTGGCTGCTGAGAAGGCAACGCGCATCTGCTGAGGCAAGGGGTACACATGTACTGGCAGTATGGTGGCTGCTGGGTTTGTCACTGGCACATCCACAGGGGTCATGCTACGGGAGTCTCCTTGTCCAGAGTCACCACTGTTAAAGGTTTCGTTGTCTCTTTCTGGGCTGCTCACCTGAGAAGAATCACTCCACCCTGCTGTTTTATTAGCAACAGTGAGTTTCTCATAATGAAGCAGTTAGCTTTGAACACAATATTTAACATTAGTCGGCTACTGAAACAGATAAAAATGCATTTTATAGTAAGTTTTTTAAAAAGCAATAAAGTAGAGCTACAGTATACTTTTCTAGATTTCTCTGACAATAGGTTTTTATACTACTATTCTAAAGGTCCAGAAAGGACCTAGATGATTTTGTCCAGTAGCTTCATTTTTTAAGAAAATGAGGCCCCCAAAGATTGGATAACTTAACACTAGCTACAACTGGCAAAGTGTAAAACCCAGATGTGAATGAACACTCTATTCTTTATCTTTTGCCCATATTTCTGAGTTTATCAATTCCTCAGTGATAAATCTCCAAGTATCTAACAGAGAAGGACTCAAGAAAACTGAGATTACATAAAAGAAGCAACTTTTAGAACTAGACATTCAAACATTTTGTTATGGTACTAAGTTCCATAATAAATGCTTATTCCTTATTTCTAAGTTAATGTGATATCATAAAATTTTAATGTTTTCAGTACTGTACAAAAACACTGCTCAGATAGAAGGCAAAGCTAATGTGAATAGTGGCTACTTTCTTAAAAGAAAAAGATTCCCTTTTCTTGTGACAAAGTTAATCTTCATTTTTTATTTTCTCAGTTACACTGAATCTTTTAATTGTACTTTCACATTTTAAGAAGTATTTAAAGTATCCTGCTTTTGTTCAAGTCATGATGTCTTAATTGTTGTTTATTCCTATCTATCAATGTACTAAGGGGCATTAGAGTATCTTGGAGTGCCCATTGTTCCACAACCACCATCCTGAAACATCACCCAAAACTATACCAAGATGGTATAGTGAATATGCGCCTAAGATTAAATTATGCTCTGGTGTCAAACAAATTTAAAACATACACAACACCCACATACACTTAAAAGTGACAAATGATCTCCACAGTCTTTCTAGTAGTCCAATATATCTCCCTTGGGTCTTCCATACTACATTTAAGCAAACCAAAAACCTCAAAAGATAAATGTTGAAAACAACATACTTTGGGAACAACTTGACAGAGGATAAAGAAAGATTTAGAGGTATGTTTGGGATAAATAAATTCCTCACTTAATTATCCTTACCTCTCGAATTTGCCCGAGGACCACCAGATGTCCCTCCTCGCTTGTAACACTGCTGGAAATTATCCTAAAATGAACACATAATATTTACCTCAGCACAAAAAATGCAAAATAGTTATTACTAGCAAATAAATCTATAAGACTAAGTCCTCTGAACCTTTGATATGGACTTCTCCAACAACAACCAAAGGGGCTCAGATGACACCAAGAAAAACAAAACAAGGGTCACAGTAACATATATCTTCATCTGTTAATTAACTTGACAGGTTAGATATGTTAATACTTGCCAAAACAAGAAAGCATTTAGACAACACTACATAAAAGACACAATGCTAGGTTATGAGGGAAATTCAGAAATATGGCCTGGTCCTCTCTGCCTCATCTCAATACAAAAGGACATAATAAAGCAAAAATACAGACTAATTCAGTCTCTCTATTTATAAACCAAAGTGTTATGACAACTATTAACTGTGTTAAGGGTTTTGTTTTGACAGGGAAATTGGTAAGAATTATAACATATGAACATATTATTTCCTGGAATCCTTACCAAAAAATGTCCAAAAGACAACATTTCAAACTGACTCCCAAGTATGGTAAAAGCCTCCATACAATTCATGAAAAGAATAATGGTGTCATTAGATTAATTATTAACATGTAATAAAAAGTTTCAACAGGACAAGAAAATACACAATAAAAAATAATAATTAATATTCCTACCCCAAACTCCTCATCCTCTTCCCAAGAACACTACTATCACTGATATCTTATGTTTCCTCAATAAGAAACTGAAAACAGCACCAAAAAATACTAGAATACTGGTACTGAGAAGAGATGTGCTATTATTGAAGTTTGTCTTAGTCAACATATTCTCTTTACACACAGTATTGACAATCAAGTAATAATAGTATCTGAATCCTTGATATATGCCTGGCATTTTCATACAAAGCACTTATGTCTATCACTTCATTTAATCCTCAGACTCTCTCAGAGTAATCCTCAACACTTCAGATATAAGTAACTCAAACTGATGAGTCCCCATCTAAAAGATAAGGTACTATGGAGAAGGCAATGGCAACCCACTCCAGTACTCTTGCTTGGAAAATCCCATGGACGGAGAAGCCTGGTAGGCTACAGTCCATGGGGTCGCAAAGAGTAGGACACAACTGAGCGACTTAAAAAAAAAAAAAGATAAGGAACTAGAGCTCAAAAAGTTTATATAACATGTCAAAGGTCACACAACAAGGGGAGTGATAAGATCCAGGGTCAAACCCATGTCATTCAGGTGACATGGTGTGTTCTCCAAAGTGTGTTCTTTAATACTGCCTCTGTACAGACATCTATCTTACCTCATGTAACTGTAAGCACTTCAAGTACAGGTCCTTTGTATATTAACAACAGAACTCAGTAAAATACCACATATGTAACTGAAGGCTTGTAAAGCTTCAAAACTTAAAATGCTAATGTAGTATAAATTCATATCCAGATATGATCAGAGACAGGGAGTTTCCAAGGACTGTTAAAGTGGAAAGTCTAACATCTTCCTATCAATCTTCTACCACATACAGTAAAGAATATCTGAACTATTCAAATAAAGAATTAACCAAAAAATTAAGCTTTTAATAAAAAGGACTTTCCTATACTAGATATCTAGAGAAGTTAAACTGAAGGCAATATAGTAATGGGCTATGGGCTATGGAGTTAAGAAACTTGCATATAATTTCTATCATTTATTTGCTGAGTGACCTTATACAAGTTACTTGTTTCTGAACTCCAGTTTCCATTATAAAGTGGTGAAGTAAATGAGTTAATGCAAATTTAATCAAGTCCTTAACACCTCCTGGGCTTCCCTGGTGGCTCACAGGGTAAGGTAAACAATCTGCCTGCAGTGGAGAAGGCCCAGGTTCAATCCCTGAATCAGTAAGATCCCCTGGAGGAGGAAATGGTTATCCACTCTTGGATAGTGGAGATCTTGCCTGGCGAATCCCATGGATGGAGGAGCGTGGCAGGCTACAGTCCATAGGGTCGCAGAGTCAGACATGACTGAGCAACTAACACACTTAAGACCTCCTAAGTTCCATGTAACAGGCAGTTGTCATGTATCCTACTTGGGTTATTAGAAAAGCTCCCAACTCAACTCTCCATCGTAATAAAAGTGCCATTACAAAACTACTCTGCTATAAGTTAATCACTAGCTTCATATCAACTGTACTTCACATCAATTGTTCAATTATAACAATTATTCTTACCCTTTGGGAATAAGGTGTTCCAGGGTACTCTCTAGCTTGGAACTGTAGCTGGCTATAATTTCCATTGGAAATTGAAGGAGGTCCTCTATAAGTATCAAAACCTAGTAAATAAACAACTTACATTAAAATTATGGGCAAAATTACACTAATCTTTTAAATAGTCTGTTCTATACCACTTAAAAAGTTAAACTGATCTTATAAAGCTATCACTAGATTTATGCCATCTTTAAGCAAACTCTTTAATATTATTTCCACAATAAAACACACATTTATAAAAATATCACAGACTTCAAATAAGCCAACTGTAGGATTTTACTATTGCTGGGATACGGATGGGGTTGGGAAAGGATGGTGGTTAAAGCCTTGGTCTAGCATACTTTTGCTAATATCATGCAGTGACTAGAATACTTGGAACCATATTTAACTTAAAAGAGTATCACTATTATACTTTCAAAGTTATCATCCATGGTATACTCTGACAAAAAAAACTAGGAAATGGGTATTGTCTTAATGTCTTATGTTTTGAGCCAGCCAGGTCAATTAACAAAAGAAAGAAAAATTCAAATATGAAAACCAAAATTAATTCCTGGAAAAAACAAAATGTTCAACCTTTTACTTCAGTAAGTCACAGGATCAATCTGTTTTTCATACAAAAAGTTCCTCTGTTATAGACAAAAGATATATTAGAAATACTGTATTTTGCAGAAATAGGGAATTCTCTACTACATTATAAACAGAAACAACAAAAAGGAACAAGGTAAAGTAAAAACAGCTTGAGTCAAGTAAATATATAGACAAAATAATTCAGTATAATTAAATTTTATTCAGAGCATACCTTTATAACCACCAGGGGACCGATACGAATTGGTTAGTAATCTCCCACCACGAGTACATCCTCTAACAGATCCCCGGCTATTGACAAATGGTTGAGAGGGTCTGGGAAATACATTCGTCTGTGCTGGGTAAAAGGCAAGGCTACCATTGCTTACTTGAATAGTTCCATCAGGAAAACTTGCTGCTTAAGGAAACAGTTTTAGAGTCCAAGAGTTAAACGGTAATAAAAATTTAATATTCTTTATACTTAGAAGTCAGTGTAGAGCAAACCTTTAATACAACCCTTTTTTAAAAAAAAATAGGTGCCATATATATGCATGTGTATATATAGAGAGATGTTTAAGTAATAAAGTATTATTCAGCCTTAGAAAATTCTGACACACTCTATAACAAGGATAACTCTTGAAGACATCATGGTAAATGGAATAGGTTAGTTACAAAAGAACAGATATTGTATGATTCCATTTATATAAGATAAGTATTTAGAGCAGATTCATAGAGTAGAATGCTGGCTACCAGGGGTTGGAAGCAAAGGGAAATGGGAAGTTAATGCTAAATAGAGAAGATGAAAAATTTCTAGAGATGAATGGTGGTGTTGGCCACACAACAACTTGGATTAAGTTTAATGCCATAAAACCTATATACTTCAAAATGTTTAAAATGAATTTTGCTATGTATATTTTTACCAGAAAAAAAAAACAGGCTAAATATTTCACATCATGGAGAAAAAGAAAGTGAACTTTTATTAATACTTTAATTGAAAAGGCATATGACAAACAATATCCTTCACATACATTGCCCGTCATGTTCTCACAGCACAGGTGAGAACAGAAGGAGGTCGTCTGTGGCTAGGTCCAGGGATTTATATTCACCACCTCTTGCAATTAACCAAGTGCTCAGAACGCTCAATTCGTTTGCTCAGGCTTAAGTTTTAGGAAACCCAACAAGGGTCTGAAATACCAACATTAAAAATCTACAAATACTTCTTATGATTGGGAAATGACTACAAAGTTGCCTGCTCTTTCATGTACCTATTATAATAGCATGAAAGACCAAAAGGGCCTCCCATCTCTAAGCAAAGAGTGGCATAAGCATAATAAGTTAAATATGTATCTTCACATTAATCATTGCTCTATTTCAAGAGAGAAGAAAAGAGAAATGGTCAGGTAGCCATGTGTCTGTGCTAACACAGAGTTAACAATGACTTCAAAACCTTCATAAAAGCAGCTGCATAGTGCCTTATGCACCTCTACTGCTGATGGTAATCAAAGCAATCAGATTTAAAAATTGAAGCCTACTCCAAGGTTAAATTAGCCATCTAAGTTCTACCTCTACAAAAGTTAAAAGTAACAGGTAAGCTTAACTAAAGAGAGGAAAAGGCATTAAGCGTTTCTCAGCACTTGCACAGGAGAAAAGATAATGTTTACTAGTCGGGAAAGAACAGCTCAAATGTCACTACAGACTTGCTTTCCATTTAATTAGCTCTCATCTAAGTCTTCAAAATAGACATAAAGATCTTACCAGTCTCTTGAGAAAGGACAGTTTGTTCCACGTGTATAGCTGGCAGTTGGCACTGGGGTGGAGTTTGTGTACTCGCTGTGGTAAAACTTTGATTGTAGCCAGATGAGTAAGGGGACTCTTTTATCTCTTGTTCTTTCCGTGGAGGCAGAGGTGCATTAACATTAAATACCTTAAAGACAGAGTACACTGAGTCATCTGCAAAGTTTCATAGAAAATAATGAAGGATGACATTCGGCAGAACTCTGCAACATTCAAAAACTTCTGTCTGATGGGCGAAGGACTTGAACAGACATTTCTTCCAAGACAATAAATGGCCAATAAGCACATGAAGAGATGCCCAACATCATTAGCCATTAGATAAAAACATAAATCAAAACCACAATGAGATACCACTTCACACCCGTTAGGACAACTATTACTTAAACACAAACAAAACAAAAAACAGAAAATCTAAGTATAACTGAGGGTGGGGTAAAATTACAATCCTCATGCAATGCTGACTGGAACGTAAAGTGGTACAGCTGACTGTAGAAAACAGTATGGTGGTTCTTCAAAAAGCTAAATGTAGAATTAACATATGATCCAGCAATTCCACTTCCAGGCATACACCCAAAGAACTGAAAGCACAGATTCAAAGAGATATGTGTACACCTATGTGCATAGTATCATTCACAAGAGCTAAAGGTGGAAACAAACAAGTGTCCATCAGCAGATGAATGGTAAACAGGATGTGATATATGCGTACGATGGAACGTTATTTCACCATAAAAAAGAATGAAATTCTGATCCATGCTACAACAGGGATGGATGAACCTTGAAAATACTATGCTAACTGAAATAAGCCAGGTACAAAAAGGACAAATATCATGAGTCCACTTATATGAGGTACCTAAGAATAGGCAAACTCATAGAGACAAAGTAGAACAGAAGTTACCAGGGGCTAAGGAGAAGAAGTGGATAATGAAAAAGTTCTGGAAAAAGACAGTGGTGATGGCTGTACAACACTGTGGATGTACTTAATGCCACTGAATTATACATTTTTAAATGGTTGAAACAGTAAAATTTATGCACATTTTACCACAGTAAAAAAAAAATTCCTACTTGATTTCTGACAGAAGTTAAATCAAGTACAAAAACTAACTCTCCTGATATTACAGTATCATAATGCTGCTTACTGAGAATGAAAACTTCATAGGGGAAGAGGGTACTTTTTAGAAACTGAGGATGAATCAAAAAATCTGCCATTTACTGAATTTCTACCACATGGCAGGACAATGATTTGACCAGACTCTGGTCACTGAGTATAATAAAGCACTTTTGTTACTCTCAAGCCCCTTATCCTGCTCCATTTTTCCTCAAAACATATAACATATGATATAATATATATATGAGTATTTTTCTCTCTAGCCCTCCCACCTCCATAATAAAGTATAAGCTTCTTAAGCACAAAGACCCATCTATTCTCCATTGTTACAACCCAGGCATTGTTGAACAGTGCCTGGCTTTGTAACTACCTGTTTGTTGAATAAATGAGTAAATGAACAAATAAGAACTAATTTGTACTGAATAGGAACCAAACAGGTAGAGAAGACAGACTGGTGTGAGCAAAAGAGGTATTTGTGATAAGAATGTACAGGGCAAGTCCAGGGGACTAGTCTGGCAATTTATACCAGGCTTCAAAAGTTAGTCAGGTAAAGGACATTCAATTTCATTTAATAATGGAACACTATTTGCTTTTAATTAGGAATAAGAAAAACTTAGTAAAACCACTGTAGCTTGGTTTTTTTGGGTTTTTTTTTTTTTACTAAAAAACAATACTGTGTAGGATGGATTGACAGGCACAGAGGGAAAGCAAGGACACTCAGCTCTATCTAGGTGGCCAAGCAAGGAGTAATAAGATTAGTGAATTCATGTGTCTGAATTCACCAGCCCATCTCCCTGCGTTGTGTCTGCTTCCCACTGCCACTTCACTGGCCCCATCTCACCACTGTCACTCAAAAGGATGTGGAGTGGGACATTAAGCAC